CCCTTCATGCGACTCGCCGAATATCTCACGGCGCTTCGCGCTTGGTGATGTGAGAGCCTGGTCCGGTGAGAACCCGGCGTGCTCCGTCCCGGCTTTGTAGGGATGCGAGGTCAATGGTCTAGCGACTACGGCATGCACGACTATGAGTACACCCCCCTCCCCCCCCGAAGGATGACGACTAGCTTCTGGTTCACACAGCCTGGGCCGGCGAACACCCAGCATATCACTCCGTCCCGGCACATGAGGGATGCGAGGTCAATGGTCTACAGGACTACGGCATGCGCTGACGTGAGTACCCCCTCACCTATCCCCAGCGGGAGACCATTTCACAAGCTGCCCCTCCCCGTGCAGGCGCTTTATGTAGGCGCAGCGGCCTTCCAGCAGGTTCCACAGCCTAAGCGTTCGGTCTCGCGAGACGGAGAGGGCCATCCTACCCGAAGGGTGAATGCTGGCAACAACAAATCCGGCAGCCAAAAAAAGGGTGGCACGCAGGTTAGTTCGGATGGGCGTGCCCGTTGTTTTGTGTGTTTCTTGAAGCGGCATCGACCGTGCTACCCGGCTGACCAAATGAAATTACGCCAGACAACACGAATGTAGCCGAATCTGTCCTTTGTCATGTGGGTTTGTTTGGTGCAAAACAACAAACCCATGACCTCCGCTTGCTAGGCACGCCACGGTAACGACGTAGACAACAGCAGTGTTTCGTTGGGGGTTTATCCATGCGGGTGGTTGTGCGAGGAGCGTTGCTGAAGGAGACGCCATCAATACTCTTATCGAGGAAGCCTCTTTTTTGTGTTGCGAAAGACCGAAGAGTCTTACCCCCAAGTTTAGCACGGCGTCGATCATGATCACAAAAAATACAAAAAAAAGCTTGCTTGTTTCCAGGAAATCACATGCACTCGATGATAATACGTAAATAAAGCTCGTTGCTTGCTTCCAGTTAATCACAAACACACACACACACCTCAAAGAAGTGACGGCCGCCTTGTGACCCCCTAGCACGTGGAGAAGCGCCCAGTCGTGCACGCGCCAGATGCAGACCGTGTGGTCCTCGCTCCCGGTGAGGAGGTGCGTCGACTTGTAGAACTCCATGCACGTGATTGTTCCTGGCATCATCGGAGAAGTACAGCGGAAAGGGATTTGAGCGTAAAAAAGAGCACCCCCACGATGATTTGAGAGGCCGGCCGAGACAAGAACGGAAACGAAGCTCACACGCACGCTGAGCAAAAACAGTAAAGCAGGAAATGTGCCGGCAATGCACGGGAAAGCGGTAACGGCACCGGCACCCAATAAATTAACGCCGCGAGGAGGAAGACGGGGGGGGGGGGGGGGGGGG